CGATCGTTGAGAGAAATAGGGAGAAGAAGAGGAGTTTAAGGAGGATACACATCTTAGTCATCTCGAGCGCATAGAACGCAAAAATCGAAAAAATAGATCGAAAGAGAGTCGAGGTCGGCTGCCCGTCTCGGCCCGAAAAAGGCCGGCACGGCAGAACGATTGACCGCCACTGACGCTTAGCTAGAACTTTGAACGGCACTGTATTAACGATAATGTGTACATTAACACTAGCATAAATAAGAAATTGTTGCGTACATCGTAGATGCGACATGACAGGAGTAATAGAGACTGAGATTTCTCTACTACCATTCGTCAGAGTAGGGAAGATCCAATAACATAAGAGACGTTTGAGCATAAACAGCAACAACAACAAAAATGTAGAAAATGACCAGAGAACAAATGTCCAATTATCATGGCCCAAACGGACCCATCGAGATCTTGCCCTCTTGAATCGCCTTGCGCACTGGGTTCTCAGCGACCATACCCGATTTTTCCAGTCGATCAAACAAGACAAACAATTTCTCCGCCTCTCTCTCTTTTTCTTCCTCCGTCATCTCGGGACCATCGTCTTCTACTTCTCGGTTGATTGCGCCCGTGATCGGATTGACGTTGTCCGGAATCGAGGAAGCCGCTCCTGACCCACCACTCGAACCTGAAGATGAAGGAGGTGGAGGTGGGCCAGAGAGGATACCCTTGTTGAACAAGTACCCGGCGGCATTCCCATACCCAATTTGTGCCGACAAGATCGATCCATCCGAATCACAAATTGTGTACATGAATTCCCCAAGTGCGTCTTTGAGGCGAGGATAGTATACACAACTCATGATACGCAGGATCCGCCCCAACGTATCCCCCCGTCCTTCAAGAGCCTCTGATCGGTCTAGATTCTCGGGCAAGATCCAGTTTCGCAACTCGACTCTCGCACCCGGATGCTCAGCCAGTCGAACCAATAGAGCTGCAAGTGGGGTGATATTCTCGTCCAAATTCATGCCCTCTTGTTTGGCCTTGGATCGGACAGAGGGGGAGTCGGCTTCGGTCTTGTCCGGCCAATACGTCGACAACGTCAAGTCGAGCATGGCACACGCATGATTGACAATCTGGTAATTCGTTGTTGAACTGGAAGAGCTGCCATTACTTGTACGTGTGCTCGAAGTCGGAGAGGATGATCTCGCCCGGGCAGGTGTCGGTAACTCGGACCCATTCCCACTTCTCGACGGCGAGTGCGAACTTGAGGCTGAAGTCGAACTGGTAGACCTTCTGGGCGGATCCGGTTTAGGCCCACCTCCAAATGATTTTCGTTGGGACGATAATAGAGACATGGCCCGTTGGAACGGATCCGTCACGAATGAACTTGGTGACTTTCCTTCCTTGACTGTGCCATTGAGAGACGTTCCAGGTGGGGTTTCCGCTCTCTTCTTGCCTTTACTGTTCTTATCTGAAGAGCTGACAGGAGGGAAAAACTTGTCGGCATATTGAATAACGGGAATATTAAGGAGCGCGTGTATGTCGTGAGTCAATGGTGCAACCAGAGGTGGTTTAGAGACCGGTAGTGCCGTAAACATTCGGACCAAAGGCGTGACTAGTCTAGAAAAGTGTTAGGGTGGTGGCAAAGGAGACAGAGGCCACACTTACGGGTCAAATTTGGTACTCCACTGCTCACCCAAAACCTTTTGACTGCCTTCGGTATCGATCATTCGTGGGTATTGGAGCATTAGGTTGAATACAAATTTGAGAGTGTCCGTTAACGCGTCCTTGGCGAAGGGAACTCCTGAAACATTCGCATCTAATAGCATATCACATCGCTATCAAAAAGTTAGTTGAATGACCAAGTAGCGACGTCGTCAACTCACCTTGGCGATACTCTCTATAATCTTTTCATCCTCGGCACACTCCTTGAGGAACGGACATTGTTTGAGCGTAGTCAGGAACAAGATCCTTCCCACCAGGAAAGAAAACTCTTCACTCGTCTTCGGATCCTGTAGATACTGAAGACAGAGTTGGCCGCCGCCGACGTCTAACCAGGCATCGCGACCGGCGTCCACGAGCAACAATGCATTCGCGACACAACGTAATGCCTCTCCAGAGACCGCAGATGGGTTCTGCGAGGAAGCGAGCTTTTGCAGCAAGCGCAAATTCTAATCCCACACCAATATCCGTCAACAACAAGACTCGCCGAGTAAAAAAGGAAAGTGTTCTTACAGATGATTTTATTATAACAGAGGAGCCTTCTGGTAGTCGTGCCAACGTCTTGACGGCTAAAATAGCATTGGAAAGATCTAGATCAATGGGAAAGGGGAAAGTTATGTGTCAGCCACAGGTTCGCGTGGACGGGTTGGAGGTTAGATTGGAAAGATATCGGCCGGCGAACGCATCTGCGCTGACAAATGACAAAGTGCACCGAACTTTTGTTCGTTGATTGGTCGGCATTAGGTCCAGAGAAGATGAACGTGTGCGCAGGTCCTGGGCGTTCGATCGTTGAGAGGCAGCGCAAGGAACCGAGGCACGGCATCCGGATTCGAGTTCTCAACACTGTCCCATCGCAGAACCCTCAACACAGATAACGCGCAGAAACGCCTATGATCTTGCATACAAATGCACAGATGACGCGCATTGCCGACGTGTATGGGGGAGAACAAGGGAGCTAGGGAGTTACCTTTCTTTGAAATCGCGTCCGCCTCGATATCGTCCAAAATATTCTGGACGAGTCCCTTTCTATCCTGTGCGGTAATCGATACTGGCGAGGCTGTGGACGATGCACCATCAGCAAACGGTGTGAGACAAGTGGCAGGGTCAACGTCGAAGGGGCGACGCGTAGCGCTCAACACTCCTGAGCGAGCAGAGATAGAGCTGATCAACCACGACGAAAAACCACATA